TGTTGGTGGTGGGGGGGGGGGAAGAGACCCCGTTGCATCAGGCACACTCAAGGGACAGGGGAAACACTCCCTTCTGTCGCACGCAGGGCGATTTTCGCCTTTCCCATCCCTAAAGCGCCGAGCCCGGCCCCGAAGTAATCGAGTCATTTCGAGGAAGCATATTTATCCCCATCGCTTTAAAATCTGCAATGCGGGATTTCCAGGACATCGGCGGAAAGGCGGAGCGGGGGGAAGCTACCGCTTCAAGTTAAAAAAAGCACCGCGTATAAAAACTGCATATCCGCACATGGAAACATCCGACACTGGCGAAGCCTCCATGTAAACAGATCGCCCTCTAGGAAAAAAAAAAAACGCTTTTTCCAAGACAGGGAAATATAAACTGCTGCGTCACTGCCTGGAATCGCTTCTTTCCTACGCAACTGAACACCCCTAAGCTGTTTCGGGTCCAAAGGTTTCCATTACCGACAGACCTGATATGAACCCCTGCGTCAGAGGCACCTCTCGCTACTGCCGGGCGCCAGAAACGGGATAAGCGGCAGCCACAGGGAGGGAATCACCCCGGGAAGGGCGCGGGGCTCCGGCCAAACCCAGCGCAGGAGGGCTGCCCCGGGCGCGGGGAGGGCACGTACCGTCGAAATCGGTATAGACCGTGTCCTTGAGGAGGGCCCCCGAGCCGAAGTCGATCAGCTTCAGCTCGCCTGTCCTGAGGTCAACCAGCAGGTTCTCGTCCTTGATGTCCCGGTGCACCACGCCGCAGCCGTAGCAGTGGCGCACCGCCTCCAGCACCTGCCGGAAGAACCCGCGGGCCGTCTCCTCGTCCAGGGCGCCCTTCTCCGTGATGAAGTCGAAGAGGTCCTTCACCAGCTCGGGCCGCTCCATAATGATCAGGTAGCCGTCGGGCCGCTCGTACCAGTCCAGCAGCTTGATGACCCCTCTGAAGCCGGAGCCCACCTTCTTCAGGAGGACGATCTCCAGGGGCACCATAACGCCGCTCTGGGCAGAGAGGGGGGCGCGGGTCAGCGGGGGGGCGGCGCGGCCCGGGGCGCCCCCGCG